ATGGCACCCTCGCAACTTTACCGCCCCTCCAACACTATACTAGAATCAATTAAGTGGCGTGCTCTCTTCTGAGCTGGAAACTAGACCATCAGCTAGATATACATCGTTTCCTCCCCGATCCCCCTCCGTCATATCTCACAGCGAAGCGACGGGGGTGTCGGGCCGGGAGGGGGAATCGCCACGTGAAAGCCAGACAACAGAGGCAAGTAGGTGGGCCCGCAGGCAGACCGATATCAGAGTGTGCAGTCGCTGTCGTCCATCATTACAATTGAAATAATGTTTTTATTATTGGGGAATCAGATGTTTTTTTTTAATAAACACAGATTTTAGACGCCTTCTAATGGCTGCATCAACACTTGATCATATCCGTTAACATTATTATACAGCGCTTTTCACAAATGACATATATATGATGAAAATATGTGGGATACAAACATTTAATCAGCCACAGCAGTTGATTGTATAAAGTACATATGTGGTTAGAAATTACATTTGATTAAAACAATCAAAGCTAAATATGTTTTTAACAATATGTTTAATGTAAAAGCTGTTCATCTGAAATTGCATTGTTGACTGTTTTTCCAGTTAGCTGTGTAATAGACAGATTAAATGTTAGCAGCGATGGATTGAATAAATACAGAGAGAAACAAGCACCCGAGTTTGAGGGAGCAGAAAATAAATGAGGCAAAATACAGAAATAAATAACAATGGAAATAAGAATGTTTGTGGTGGGGAAGAGTTTATCCACACGGGGGCTGAAGGAGAAGCAGAACCGACCTCAGCATGCTTAATGAAAGAGTCTGTGGCGAGGGTTCCATCAGAAACATATTGGAGGGCAACCATCCGACACACACACACACACACACACAGCTTGGCGGATGGGCTCCGATATTCTCCTTGGCGTGTTCAATCCGTGCATAAAGAACATGGCGGCCCGTTTGACGTGGCACCCAGAGAAAACCTCTCGCAGGAACAAATCGAGCGAAGAATACAAAACAACATTTAATGTTATTGTAGCGTGATGGTTTTAACGCTTTTACTATAAACTTCCCTGTCAGACAGCGTTATTCCCTAAACCTGAAAAGTATGTGACATTTTAAAAGGATTAATGGAAGCGGGGATCATTGTTTGGCAGACTTGAGTTGGCCTCGGCGAAATGCAAAGGGAGAGGTGGAGGAGAAGTTGGAGCGCTGAGATTTAAGCCAGGACGTGGGCGCGGGGGGAGGAGGAGGGGGGGGGGGTTGAGAGCCTTAATACAAGCGAGGTTAGGAGAGGCGTTCAGGGCGGCTCCCAGCGGCACTGAGATACAGCAGAGGGAAGCAGATAAGGGCAGGAAGAGGGGGGGTGCTGGATTGAGCCGCGGCCGCAGAGAGGGGGGCGCTTGCTGGCCGTTATCTCACAGATGAGGGCAGCTCCAAGGTCAGCGTGCATAACATTAGCGCTCAGCAGTGCTTTCTGTTATTCTCGTGTGCAGGACGGAGCTGGAAGCAGGTATTGATTGCAAACTAGGCCTTTTGTTTCTCAAGCTTCTTTTCACCAGGATCCCGATGTAAGAAAGCAGTGAAACGGCCACCACTCGAGAGAGGGGACGACTCAAACCAAAGAAATGTTTACAAGGGGTTACCAAGAGCAACTCGGAAACAACAAATGGGCCAAAGCCGGACCATAAAATGAGTGCAAATGCATGCCATATAATTCATAAAGTCTCAGGACGCCGCGCCGTTCACATGATTCTGATTCACAAAGTAAAAGGAATAAAAAAGCGCAACGGCAGCTGATCCCATAGAGTTGGGAAGTCTCTGTTAATGCGAGACATCTCTGTCGGGAGGCATGTTTATTTATCCTGGAGGAACGTCAATCAACCCACGGGCCGTGAAGTGAGACGGTTGGCAAAATAAAAACACCACAAATGTCATCTACACAAACACTACAGCTAGATCTGAATAAAAAACAACCCTGTGAAGACCTATGAATAATTAGCCGATGCCATTATAAATTTCAGACATTAGCCATGACAGGGAAGTGATGGTAAATACGCTCAAATAGGCCTTAAATAAATACAGCCAGCGCTACATTACAATGTGTTTGTTTAGTTCTTCTGCACCGAAAGAGTCTCGACGGTGTAATTAGCTCACAGCTCAGCTGTCACATGGAATAGTGTCATCTCTCCACAAATATCAACACTTTGGCAACAAACTGATGCTTGCCATGATGAAACAGTCCCAGTGTAAGTATTTCATTACACATGCTGCTGAAACAATAAAATTGATCAATTGTACCAAAAAGTACGAGTATCAAAAGTATCAAAAGTACGTCACGATAAGGTAATTAACTACGTAGTTCATTGGATTTTCAAATAAAACACCACGGGTCCAGATGATTCAATGGTTCCAATAAAATAATAAGAACATTTTCAGTGTGCGCTTCATGAAACAGGGGGAATTAAAGTGTACACTGAAATCCAGACTGCTGAACTTCCACAGCAGTTAGTTGGTGTTAAAAAGAGGCCTGTTGGCTGCCGGGTGAACACACAGAGGTCCTGGCAGTTAGAGTAATGTACAAAGCATCTCTAACCTCCCCCCTCCAGCGCCGCTGCGCTCTTTCAGTCTCCTAAGACACATGTTTAATCTTCTCGTCCCGTGCCGCTCAACCTTCCTTCTGTGTTAACCCGGCACGGACAGATGAAACGAGAAATGAATCCCCTCTAATTCACTGTTAAAAGGAGAGGAGAGCTTTAACCTGATAAGCTCTGCCCGACAACGACGACACATTTTATTTAAGAGGACCGTTCATACGGCGTGTTCATCTCAGCGTGGACCGAGATGTTCTCCCGATCTCAAGCAGATTCAATACCACCTCAAGCGCTCCGGGTCCGTCCAATGATCAGCTAGTGAAAAGGAAACTTCTATGTCGTTCATCGTGGCTGGTTTCAGCTTCAATGATTCATCCACAAAGTGCCATTTGCGATTTCTACATTAGTCTGACGTGTGTGTGTGTGTGTGTGTGTGTGTGTGCGCGTGTGCGCGTGTGCATATACAAAGTTCACCGGACCTTGTAGAGCTGCTCGTAACGTCGGCGGCTGTTTCCTGCTTTGCAGTGTTACTAGTTCGTTATCAGCTCCCGGCTTACAGGTGAGTCACGCACACAACGAACAATGACACCGTACATCAAGCGGTTGCCTGGCAACCAGCATAGTTCTGACAAAGAGAACGAGAAGACACCCAAAGACGGATGGGTGGGGCGAATCATTTTACCAGACCTTCTTTCAGAAACGTCGCGGGGCGTCCAAGGTTACATGAAAGTGCAAAGTGAAAACTTTACCAGTCGGTTCCTGGCTTCAACGTATCAGAGGTAGTTTGAAAGGGGAGAAGAGGGATGCAGAGCGAATGTACATCCTTTCAAATTGCCATAACACTGGAAACAGTGTTTTCAGTTCATTAAAGTTATGTGTCACCCTTCTAGTTGCCTAAACAATGAAGGGTGGGTGAAGTCACTGGTGACTATGTCTACTCCCCCCCAGCCGGAAAATTACCTCCGCCCTCCCTGAAAAAGTGTAGAATGAAAAAACATGTCTTTGTTAGTTTCCCCGCGCACGGCAGTCCCACACGTGCGCAAATATGTCTGTGTGGCACTCACAGTGGCAGAGCATCAGCAGCTGACTGACAACCCACCCCGCACTCGGCAAACCCCCCCCCCCAAAAAAACATAGGGGAAACACTTATATAGAGTGTACTGTATGAATCAATGGGCATTGACCTGAATCACCAACTCAAACAAATGCTTTGAGTGCTCGTCCATCGTCCCAACGCGTGAACCGTCCCCCTAACCAGGTATCCGCTATAAGTCAGTATCTACCCATTTCACACAAGAGGGGCCAAACCAAAGGCCGTTGTCCTGCCGACCACAACAGCTGCCACGGCAGCACGATGGGGGGTCCATTTTATAGGTACAAGTCAGTCTTCTGTAAAGGGCAACAAGACCATTTTGCCCCTCGTGCTCTGCGGTGTAAACTCGTGCATCGGACAGTGTGTGTCAGACGCAGACTGCACTCACAATGCCTTTCACTGACCTGCCGTCAATAGAAAGAATAATGCAATAATGTCATTGGAGATTCAATGTCATTAAAAGTTTACATTTTATTCAGCAGATTTTTTTTTACTGCCAAATTGATTCAGAAAAGTTCAGACTTGTGTTGCCTCTGTACGCGTGAGTGTGTTTTTGGGGTATCATCGATTAGCCACAGCACTTCTACCACTTCATCACCATAATCCTCGAATACCTCTCCACCGGCGGGTACAATCTATATTAGGTTGCTAAGCAGAGTGCTGCCAGGCCGACCGACACACGGATTAAGATTATGTCCTTTTTATGGAGCCCAAAAAGCTGTAAATCTCCGTGTTACACAGTAGAAAGAGGGTGAGACGGGAGGAGAGATCACACTTGCTTCAAAAAAGAAACTTCACAACAGCGATGGAGCACACATGGGTGGGTACAAAGTACGCGTTACTAGGAATGATAACATTGCAGTTGATGGATACGGTCAAAGCACTTTGTGACTAATGTGGGTGGTATGTTATGCCATTCTGCTGGGGCCTCAGTCATAAGGGCCACATGTATTCATTCATTCATTTAGCATACGCTAGTAATGCATTTCATAAATCAGTGGTTGCCGGCAACATTTTCCCAGAGAAACTATTACAATTCTACAAGTATGTGGTTATTTTCAATTCGGCATAAGAAAAGAAAAAGACGATGAGCACTTTAGTCATAATTAACCATATGACTAATTAGAAGGACGGGAAAACATTCAGAAAGTTGACGCTTTCCTTACAAAAAGTTGCTGCAAAGTCAACCATACGTCCGCCGAATAGAGCCTCGGATTCCAGGTAATGTTCAAAAACCCGGGATTCATTCTACCAAACGTGCCAAATAGGAGAAAAAACGAGGAGGTCGAAAAAAACGCCAGGTTTTGAAGGGGGTTTTGTCGCGGTGTCACTCACCCGAATTCTTCTCATCGCAGCCACGATCTCCACTCGGCTGCTCGGCCGCGTCACATCCAGACTCCCGATGTACTGCAGCCACATGACAGGTACAACAATATTAAGCAAACAATAGACGACCATTCTCGCTATGCATTCACTGAAAGAGCGCACGTGTTCGCCTGGGGTTATTTTTATGACTTAAAAAACGGACTCAAACTAAGTATCTGAGCATTGGGTCTCAGTGCGATACGAGTCGGCCAAAGTTGAAAACACGTCTCACGGAGTAGTGACGTTAAGTGTTACAGTGAGACGTTAACCTGTATGTGGATTCACCTTCGCCTCGAAGTTGATCCCATGCTGGAACGCTTCCTCGTTGTGCAGCGGGATCCGCAAATCGTGCCCATCGTCAACGAGGTTGTACTTGCTTTTAGCAGGCATTTTTAAAAAGAAGAATTCGCCTCTCCGCACTTCCAAGAAAGAAAAAAAAAAGATAATCTCCACGGAGAACCAGCTGTTTTAATCCGAGAAAAAAAAAACAAGAAAAAGAAACAATTCCCCAAATTCCGGCTAGTGCACGTTCTCCATCGCGCCGCACCGTCCCGGCAACGCGGCGGTCACTACGCCCTCGACAGCGGCCGCTGGGCGGCAACAACTTCCCGCAGAGGTCCGGGGCACCGCGGCCCTCAAGTCACACGCAGACGACAAGAACACGGCGACATTCGGCGCGTGCGTGTGTGTGTGTGTGTGTTGGGGGGGGGGGAGGAGGACAGATGTGTCTTCGCGACTTTTCCTGTGGCGCTTGTGGAAGTTGGTTTGGGTTCTGCCTCCTTCCCCCGGACTCCTCCCGCCCCCGCGTGGAGGGCGCGCGTGATTGGAGGAGTCCGAGGATCCCACCTGTTTCCATTGGAACAGAGGCGCACCGTGGCTGTCCGGGGGGGGGGGGCAGAGCGGCTGGTACCTGCCCCCCTCTCTTCCCTCCGACCCTGCGCATGTACACACACACGTACACGCACGGGAATAAACCGATTGAGGAGTGGTGTGGCGCCCACTGTAGGCGGTACACATATGTAGTGTGTAAACTGGTCCGTGTAGGCCAATGCAGGCGGTTGACCCTGGCTCCTGTTTGACTGTGAGAAAAGGTTGAGGTTTAATCCTCTGGGAGGATGATCAGAGATAACGGCTGCAAGATGATGTGGTAATTTACAGCCTACGGAAATTCAAATGTCAATGTCACTTTACAGGAGAGGTTTTCACCTTTACCTCTGTTATCAAATAAAAAAGAGCAAGGCTACCAACTAGTGGCCGTATGCGCTATGGGAGTTTAACCTTAAAGAAAATGTAAGAATAAGAAATGATCATTTCTTTCTTTCAAGTATTCTGTTTTAGCCCAATACATTCCACTAACAAAATTGTTCAATAAAAGGCTTGTGTTTTTTTAATGACTCGAAATATGTAAGAAGGTACTTTACACAGCACAAATATGGTATTCCCATTTTATGATCCAATTAGCTATATATAGAAAAAAAATTAAATAAAGATTATTTTAAATTTAATTAAATGTGTTTTAGTTTTTACATTTTTAGTGATTATGCTGCTTTAATAATAAAACAGAGAACGTTATCATCTAAATATCGTTTTAAAGCACTTTTATATAAAAATCAACAACATCTATTCCAATAAAAGGCTTCTACAGTATCTACGGGGGGCTTGTGGTTCTCGAGCATCAACATGGCCACACAATTATGGGTCTAAACACAATCTGCAACACGATGCACTGATAATAAGCTAATTGGGTTGTCGGTCATCTAAGACAGATCGTTCATGCTGAGTATCCTCCAGACATTCTGCTCAAGCATCTGGAATGGAAGCATCCCCACTTGTCATGTTGTATAATGCACAAACCATCTGTGTCACCCTGGGAGTAAAGATGCGTGCAGCGCTCCCCTAAAGGTTGTCCTGGAAGGCGAGGAAAGGGGAAGTGGGGCAGCAGTAATTCACATTCTCACCCCCCTCTTTGGAAACATATAAAGTGCTGCTTGTTATGGCATCCTGGGGGCTTTTACACTAGCAGGACGGTGCTTTACCGAACGGTATGAGCTTCAGAAATGGCATCTGGCTCCCAGCTATTGCCCTCCTGTTTATTAAAACCTAATCATCATAACTCATTGAAACAAACTGTTTCATTTAGAAATTGTGTTAATTAGATAAAAGTTGCGTAGATGATACATCTTTGAACAGAATGCTTGGAAATCTCTGAGCTTTATTTGACTTGACATTTCAAAGGCTCCACTACAATGATATTATTTCATACGTGCAGTTCTTTAAAGAATCCCTCCATGCTGACTGTTATTTATTTAATTTTTGAGGTCAAGAAGGCCTGACCCTCATGATAGTAGTTATCGGACAAGAACAGCTGCTGTCCCTGCATGAGGAATCACCATTGAATACTTACAGCTCCTCTCTCAGGGACCCCGTGGTCTTAAGGCTCTTTAAAAAAGGATAGAGAGCAACTTAATCCCCGGCAGGACTGAAAACACATGTTGATCTGTTGATTAGGGCTTTTGGCTTTGGAGGCATATGTTCTCCACGCAAAGTAGCTTTTGGAGATCAGTGTACAAAAACATCACAGTTATACTTAAAGCCAAAAGGCAACATGATTCCACAGCAATACAGCAAATATAGCTCCTAAACCGGAGACTTTTTTTCCACAGAGAACGGACTAAAATGGGTGAGACAAAAGAACCCGGCCTGGAGGTGCGTGGGGGAGTGCAGGGAGGACTTTAGTTCAACACAATGCCAGTAATCCTACATGAGACATGTATTACATGTTACAGGTTTTAGACAAGTCAGATGTAATGATGTGTTTGCCCTCAGGGGAGTCTCTTGTAAAATGGTATTTGCTTGAGGTGAACTGGGTAAGACCATTGTTCATTGGTTACCTGTTGAGGGGAGTACTACGCCTCTTGCCCAACGCATGCTGGCATGGGCTCCAAAACAAACTGTTTGGAAAATGAATGGACGGCTTCGGTTTCAATGCTCGTGTTCATAGGTTTCAACTTGACGTGTTAATTGGAAGCATTCAAAGTATATATGTTATATTATTTAGTAATTAGCATGGTGCCAAGTATTCTAATGCTATTTGCTTTTGTTTTTGACAAGAAACCACACAGCTAGTCAGAGTAATCAAATGTCGCATGCCGTGAAAGTCAATTATGGGAAAGTTTTATGAGCATATAAAAGATATGAACCCATTTGTTAGGCTAACACTTAGTTGTGTTTGCTGGGAAAGAACATTACCAAAACATTGTTGGTTTACAAGAAAATCCCATAACGAGCTTCTGAATTAGGAGGGAAAAAAATGAACCCAGGAAGGAGAATTAACATTTGTTTGGGATGGCTGAACTAAGCTCTGCTACAATTATTACCTACTGTAGAGTTCCCTTTTTATAATCAGCAGTCACTTTGCAAAGCGAGCACATGATGTTTGTGGACAGATTATCACAGCAGACACTCAATAGTTTACTCGTTGGTGAGCAGATTTCCTGCACTTCTCATCATTCTCTAAGATCGGCTAGCTGTCATCTTCACCGCTACAAAACGTAATGCGTTGCATTGCATGACTTTTTTAGGGCACCACGAAGAGGATACAGACACACACACACACACACACACACACACACACAGGATTGGACACTAATAGAATAGACAGTAACGGAGCAGTGTACAGCAAACAGGGAGTTATGTCCTCCATCCAACCAGAGCTGCTACTTTTAACATCTGAAAAAACTACGTGTCTATAACGTTGACCTCTGGAGCGGATTAATCTGAACACATTAGCCTTGTGTTTCAGTGTGAAACGAGGCAACGGCTTTTTTTTTGTTGGGGTTCAGTTTTGGGTCAGTGTGTCAGTCGGAGCCCCGGGTCTTCTCTTCTAACTCAGCCTATAGCAACAGCAACACACATGCATCAACGCACACACACACCCTTACACATCTTGAGGGCCTCTTAAACTGAATTAGTAATGCTGATTTCAAAGAATATGGGGCAACGTGTGGAGCAGATCTGCTCCTCACGGGAGAGAATCAGGGAAGAAGACAGACAGAGAGGCAACAAATGACAACAATACATTTCTAAAGTGGTTGTGCTTGAAGCTGTCTTACGACGTTGGACTTTAAAGGAACTGAACATTTGCAGCTCACTCGGAGGGTGTGTGGAGAGGAGGAAGGGGGGGGGGGGGTAGATTACTATGGATATAATCTGGCTCTCATGCCATTTTATCAAAGAAGTATGGAGCCAAAATAATGTATGACCTGTGTACACTGCACCACAAGAGGGTCAATTCCATTCCCAATTCAGAATTATACATGTTTACTACATTGGTATTTAACTCAACTTTTTCTTCTTTCTATACATTGAATGTTAATGATATTGAAACAGATGCTACATGAACATGTGCATATCATGAATCTCTGTTGCAGATTGTTACAGTATTTGAGAAGTCAAGAAGTGAAAAACAGATGGAACAGTGCTGTCATGTGGACACGTTACAGAGGTGCAGAAAGCAGCTTCTCCGACTAAAATATTATATTTGTGCAAATGTACAAAATTTGGACCACAAATCTACGTAATTTTCTTGGTTTCATAATCGAAGTTCTGTCCAAAGAATGTCATTTTGGTTGTACTGAAGCATGTATACTTCTATCATTTTACCTATTTGTCATATGGATCATTTATACAAAATATGTAGGCCTTTATTTGATCACTTTCAGAAAACAATATCAGGAGTGGTAAACAAAACTTCCTGTATGAGCTGCTGCTTCTTTGTGAGCGAGTTTCTTCGAAAGCTCCGTATTGTGTCACTTTGTTGCTTGGCAGCCCGAGGACTCCTTGAGGAATGAGTAAGTTAATATGTATTCAGTGAGCTTCTCCTGGAGACGAAAGGTCCAAAAGGTTTCTTCTTCCTGAGCAGTTCCACACTCTTCTCATAGTCCACCAAGCACATTGTGTACTTCGGCCTTAACGGGCCCACAAATCACAGCAATGCTCTCCTATTGACTCGGTCAGGGGCAGTAAACCCATCAGGGCCAAGAGGTGCGCATCATTTTCAGTATTGGCAGAGAGGTCAGTTGAGGTGCGTTGAACTGTGATATAATATTTCAGTTCAGTCCCGTCTGATTGACATGTAATACTCCAGGCCACTTACATTCATCATTTTACATTAAAATCAACAAAAAAGGGCAACAAGTTTGCAGAACAGGCCATTTCATGTATTCTTTGGTAGAAGCACTTGCTGCTAAATGTTTCCTTCCTCCATATGTATATTTCTGGATAGCAAATGCACTACATACTGTACATTGCAAAACAGAATACACAGTGGATGACAAAATGATCCCTTCCTCAGGATTTCAACTTGTGTTGCTATGGCTGAAATGCAGATGTGCCCTCGAGCTGGATTCAGATCTGTCGTTACTAAGGGAACAGCTGAACTCACTCAGCCTGTGGTGGAAGAGGACCATGTAAAGAGGTAACCGCTGTTTCTGTTTTGCCCGTGTTATGTTAAGCCATAATGACTCATAAATATTATTATACCATCGGAGCCGGTGGGCTTTCTCTTCGTTGGAGCATATTTTATGCTACCATGGTAACTGTAGAAAAAAATAATATAAACTACTTAACAATGTTGTGGGCAAAACCCAAGTGCTGGTAGTCGACCTTGGATGCAGACGATCATCTCTGGCATCACAAGATTATAGACATTGACGCCGTGATGTCATGAGAGGCAGCGCCGCGCTCACTGGGGTAGTTCAAGTAGTGCGAGGACACCAGGTTCAAAAATGTAAACAACGGTTTAATTCACGTCCTTGGGTTTAAACAGAAAACAGTAGTCAAAAACGTGCAACTTAGGCTTCAGTCGATCTTCGCCAGTAAAACTTAAATAATGCCTCGTTTTCTCAGTCCCTCCGGTCTCCGGGAATCCTCCTGCATTGGTCTGGTCTTCTGCATCGGGCCCAACCTGCAGCTCGTGTCTCTCTCTCTCCCCCTCAATAGTGTGTCTCCCGCCCTTATGAAGGCCTTCAGGTCTCATGTAAAAAGATGCTGGGCTTTATTCAAAGCTGACAATTATTGTATTCCGTTTCAGGCAGTTTTTTTAAATTGTAAAGCCAATTCATCAATCCAATTGTGAATGTCTGGGCAACACAGACGTCACAGCTGACTCAACCGCACAGATGTGTGGCTCCTGCAAAAGCGCGTAGGCAACCGCACACAGCCGGCAACGTCTGACTCGCCAATGAAAATATTGCATCGATGTGAAACATTATCTGTTATTGAGGGGACGGAGGCAGAAATGTTAGATTTCTAAAAGTTTTGACCGGGGAAAAAATTATTGTAGCGCTAGTTTGAGTTAGACAGCGCTTTGGTACATAACCTCAGCAATATTTTCTTTTTTTCATAAGCCAAACTACATCAAGTATTTTCATGCACAATGATCTAAATTATGCAAATATTGTGTATGCGTGTCCGTGTGTGTTTTGTTGAAAGCCAGCAGTAGCTGATCAGTATTGAATCAATATTGTTTGTGTAAATAAACCTCCAATATAATACAGTGCTAGATTATAGGATATGAGGTTATGTGATGTTTTTAACTGTGGTTTATGTTCCTGGCTGAATAGAGAAAAACAGACAGAAAGCCAGCAGCATCAAATCTGTCTCTGCCTTTGCAGAAAGAGACCATGGTCAAAGGACCCTCCTAACCCCTGGAGATGAGGATTCCCTGGTGGAGTTCCATTTGTATTCTACCTGCCACACGTTTCTACTGACAAAGCCTCAAGTCCTGGCCCACTTTCTGGCCTTTTTTAACCACCAGCACCCTCAAGCCCCCCAAAAGTTGGCTAAACATAGTGGATCAATTTCAGGGAGTACAACTGCGACAAGATGGGGTTTCAGCTGGACTCGGCAAAAAGGAAGGATGTTGTTCCCCCGTGGGAATAAACATGCAGACAGGCCCAGGGGACAAGGGGAAGCATCACTGTCCTGGCCTGCCTCAACTCAGCTGGGGAAGATATCCCTCCTTCCAGCATGTATACTGGGGGAGGTCCACTGGGCCCCTATGACAGGGAAGCGGTCCCCGATGCTCTCTACGGAAAATCGCCAGCAGGGTAAATGGACAGTGAGCTTTTCAGGAAGTGGTTTGCTGGGCCCGCTGCTGCTGGTCATGAACGGTCAACAGTCCCCCGTGGATCCAGAGCTGACCCACAGAGAGAGGGGGTCCAACATCCCCTTTCAAGAAGCCCCCTGTCCCCTATCCCCAACCCCAGAACCAACACCTGCCCCTCCTCCCAATCCTTTTACACAGTGCTTTCGTTAGACCATTGGACAGCTAATTGGGAAACAGTCTGTTGGGTGGAACCCATATTTTTGTATTTCATAGTGGGATTCAATCTGCGACTGCACTTGCTTTGACTAAAAAAGAAACATTTTTTGATTTGAATTGAACCATCTATTTGCCCTCACTTTGTTGATGTCCTCAAAAAATGCTGTTCCACATGGTGGTGCTGTGGCTCTATGCATGTCCTCAGCACACTCAATGTCCATAAACAATGTAACCATACTCAGACCAATGGGGAATCCCACTAACTACCTACTAGTAACATATTCAGCAACGCAGCTTCAAATTAAGATCTGTCGACATTGGCCTCAAGATGATTTATAGGAAATTTGGGGTCTTCTTCCTTTAGTGAGGCAGGTTTATTATCTCAGAGTTCAGAGCTAAATACCTTAAACCAAACTTTGTTATGTATGCAATTAAACCATAATAAAACAGACATGATAAAGACATCAAATAGACCCTTGCTTGTCTCCACTTTCAGTTTTGGATCGACGTTCCCCATGAAGCTTTCGGGGATGAACAGGGGGGATAATATTCCCAGCTCTGAGCTTCCATCAATGTTTCCCCACTCGCAAATTACCATTTAAAGTAGGCAGAGTGAATTAGCCCAAAATAATTCCTGTTTAGAAATGTACCCATAGACACCTGTCACCGGATTAGATGACATTCTTTTTTAAATATGTTCTCTAACCGTGTTTATGGATATTTATTCACTGAGTATCTTTGCCTATCAAGTTTCTTCCCATCCACTTCCCCTCAGCTCTCCTTCATCGAATTACCATGCAATTATTATTTAAGGCAGAAAAACTTTAATCTTTGAAACCATCCCAGAGAATACCTTTTAGTTGTATTAGATGGATACAGGTTGTTTTCTGTACCACAATAGTAGACTTGTAGGTTACATTTACTGTCCTCCTAAACTAATTACGATATGCAGATATAGCTCAACAGTTGATCAACAGATAAACTGCCTCAAATTTCAGCCAATCAGAGCTTCAGTCTGTCCAAGCCCAGGTGGTGTTTGTGTGGGCCGGGGCAGGATCTCGCTGTCGGGGCTGATCGGAGAGGCGCAGGATGGTCCACCACAGTGCCCAGAGTTCCCCGGGGCTCTGGGGCAGTGAGGTCTGCGCTGGGTGGGACTGAGTGTGTGTGCTCGTGTGGGTGCAGGTGTGTGTGGTCGTGGTGCTGATGCCCCGTGTGTTCACCGTCTGCTTTTGAATGAGCCTGTTCCTCCACAGCGGCGGCCTAAAAGGCGGAAGAGAAGCCAGAAAGTAACTTTTTAAATTAAGTCGTCTCAGAAAGATGTAGAGGACCATTTGGATGAGGGTGGAGAGACAGAACATACAGTGATTGTAACCTAAACCTTATTTGCAGAGCTGCAAAAATAAGGTTAAGTTATTTCCTATTGGCACACAATCTTTAATTCAATGTTAAAATAAAACATATTCATAATTGGAAAAAAAGCCTGTAAAGTGAGACAACTCAGGTCTGTTGTTTTGGACATTCTAAGAGTTGGAAGACCATATCTGAGGGAGGTACCGGAGGTTCGTAGATCTGGCACTTCACATCTACGGGCCTCCGGCTCCGAAATGAGCCGTCCTTCTTTCCGACCGGGAGTCTGATTTCAAACTGGTCCTCGAGGGTCACATGTGATCCCAAACAGAAGCCTCGATGCTGAGAGAAAAGAGGTAACAAGAACAGGGGAGCCTGCATTGACAACATGGTTCTGTAAAAGCTGAACCAAGATTAAGTACGGCAATCATATATTAAAATACATTTTCAAAACACGTGTGTGTTTGTGACTCACAGCGAACTGACAGTCCATAGGTGGGCAACTGCTCAGGTCACTGTCACCTGCTGTCTTTGAACACACAGTCTCCAGGATCGTGAACTCCACAAAATAGGATGGACCAACAACCCACTGGAAAAGCACACAAACACATTTTGTTGAGTTATAAAATACTCAATGTAGTCAATCCAAGATTTCTTAATGTATATTTTATCACTCCAAAAACTTCCCATTCCCGAATGCTTTTCAAAAAAACTCGAATGACAAATATTTTTCTTAACCTGTGAACTGGCTCTCGTAATGTTCTCCAGAGTAAAGTAGTTGGCCAGGCGGCTCTCTTCATTGAACCTCTGCAGTGAGAGGTTGGCTGTCTCCTTGACAACAGGCTCGTTGAGGTTGTCAGCCGTGGGACAGTCCGGACACACATGCACCACTGCAGTGGCAGGAACTAAACACAAGCACCAACAGGCCCAAAGGTTGACGTAACGTGTGGGTTGAGGATTTAACCTCCATCCTGTAGAATGAACTCTTTCCACAAAACCATAAAACTCTAAGTAATCAGTAATGGATGTTTACTCGCCTTTAGGATGGGACAAAATATATCTAGAAATACCATTTGATTAATGTCAGCCTCTTCAGTTCATACTTTACAATTTTTTACAAAATCGCACCAACAAAATGGACTCATACAGAATTGAATCTTTTTCTGTAATTAAAAGGTAAATAAATGTATCACCTTCACGAAGTGCACAGGAGTAGCTGTGAAGTTTGACTTGAGAGTCAACAGAGACAGATACCTCACATTCTCCAAACACCTGGATGTAACAAGTATAAATATGTACAAACATGCATCAGTATAAAATTGTACTGCAAAACTAGAGAAGTTACAACTTCACCAAAAAAATATATGTGTAAATAGCACACTGGTACTCACTGGAACATTACCAATATCTCTGACTTCACATTGTTTCCATGGTTTCCGGCTTGTGATGTGGCATTTGGTCTCCAAGACATCAATGGTCAGTTTGTAGAATGACCCGCCCATCTCCTGGAAACCCACGTACGCACAAAGACACACACTTTTTTCCGTGGCTGCTGGAATGTCCAAATTTTCCACCCTCTTTTTACAAATACTCTGTTGCGTGTATCAAGATCCAAGAGAGCGAATAACCCTGCTCATGTCGTTGTGTGTGTGTGAGAGAGAGTTCACCCTCACCTGTCCATGAGTGTGAGAGAGGTCGTACAGTCTGTTGAGGCTCAGGATGTATCCATCTGTCCGGTCCTGGTTAATCTGCTCCAGGGCCTCTTCCGCTACCCTCTCCACTTCAGGGCTATTGCAGCCTGGAGGGTCCGGCCTGGCTCTTCCCCCCCGCTGCAGCAAAGCCAGACACAGGACTAGAAGGTACAAACCCATCCTCCAACACACAGACAAGAACACACGCAAACACAGATTGGTCCAAATAAAAACCTAGATTATACTAAATTGAATCACTAAGGCCTTTCCTGGTTAACCATTTAACATTTAGACTAGCGGTGGTTTATAAATGTTCCTGTGCAGGACCTGTAATCCTAGTTTTTCAAGCAGGATTTGGACAGAGGCTGATGCTGGACTTTGTCCTGTGTGCCAAAGGATGAGCAAACAGTTGTTATCTGCTGCTCTGTCGGCCAATGGCTGGCTCGGATTGGATGAAGGGTCACGGTGCACTGGGGACAGTTACAAAAGAAGAGAGATCCACGGTGAAAAGTATTCGGAGGGTTGGCAAACGGCTCCTGCAGCAAAAGCCATTTTTCCGCTGCCCTGTTTAGTGTTCATTTTCTTCCAAACACACTTGTGCCAGAAATGTTCATGGTTTGCTAGTGCTGGTAGTTAAGTGTTCCCAGTTTGCCACAATGCCAACAAACGGAACCAGCTTTTCAGGCTAAAACCAGCTAGAAGCAATAGTATATTTGAATGTATATTCTAATGTTTTTTTTTAATACAACCATCAATAGACTTTTTCTCTACCTTTTTGGGGGGTTTTGTTAAGTGACAATTTTAGAATTTTTTTGCGGTTCGTGTGACATAATAAAAAATCCATAAAAACATTAGTACGCATGTGCCCTAACCCTAACCCTCACAATATGTGTTTCCGGGGTTCAGAACAAAGACAACAGCTGTTTGCTGATGTAACCATTATGTCAACATTGCAAATGTACACAAAGTGTGTGTGTGTAGTTTATTCTAGAACCAATGTTTGCACAACAAACACATAAACACATACATTTATCGAGTCCCTAATTGGCAACCAATCTGCATCAAACCTTACAGACTCCATTCTGACAAAATCTTTAGAATAGGCCTATTACATGTATAGAGTCATCATTTATTAATATATTAGACTTGTATATTGCATATACAAATGTCAAATCCATGTTATCATACCAAATTCAACATGTTGTATGACACACCAATTCATTTCAATGAAATATATTAGCGCTTACTAATTGTAATTCACTTGACCTTTGGCCTATTGGCCTCTTCAGCTTTGTAACGCTCTTTTCCCTTGTACTCATTGGGAAGACATGAAGACACTAAACTCAAGACTTGACGCTCTGAATTGGGTTAAATATTAGGTTATTTCATTTGCATAATGATAAAAGATTTTCAGAACATCAATAAAACAACCTCTTCACTTTATGTTTAGTTTAGAATATGAATCTGCTGCGGTGAGATCAGTGACAGGATACACAGGGAGCTCGGGTTTCGTGCATTGAATCAACACACTAAAGTGTGTTGATATTTATTTGTTTTGGTGCAACCAAGCACAGACAACATACAAACACAGAAACAATTATGTTTGCCTCCAGAATTGAATAGTTCTTCCATGTGAATGTGGCCAACTAGTGGTACGTTTATACAGTTGTTTCTGAAGATTGTAAAAACAACATGAGCAGTTTACGGAATCTTTTAATGACCGACAGAAGGTTGAACAGGATTCATATTATTAAACATTCGCAAAGAGTCACCCAGGTAAACACTCAAGGTGCATAACTTGGTCCATCACTGTGTCTAAGGCAAAAGTGGTACTGTAAATATTCTCCTGTCTGCACTTTAGTATGTTCGTATATGTTCAACTGAGTTTCAATGGGCCACCTTATGCAGCGGGTTTGAACATGGGGTCCTCAGAAAAGACTTTCTCCATCAGGCTGTCTCCCGTCGCTGCAGGGGCGCAACTGGGTGAGATCGCCCCGGGGAAGGGCTGGATGATGGGTTCCATCTGTCCGGGCACCTGGGGGTCTGGCTTGAGGGGCAGGGTGACTCCCACTTCAGGCCCACCAGCGGGGACTTCCGGGAAAGAAGGCAGGGTCATGGGTTGGTTCATGGCGGGCAAATACCTCACCGTGCCTACTGGGTGGTCGTGGGCTGTTGTCTCGTGGACGTGCTCATGGTGATGGTGGTGGTGCTCGTGGTCGTGCAGGTGAGCGTGCTTGTGGTCGTGATCTAGAGCCAGCTCGTGGTCGTGCTCGTGGGTGTGCACGCCGCCGGCATGCTCGTAGTTGTGGTGCTGGCCGGGAGAGTCGCCGCTGTGGTTGTGTGCCTTGGCGTGATGAGTGTGCACGTGATCGTGGCCATGCCCGTGGTCGTGGGAGTGGTCGTGAGCGTGCCTGTGGCCGCTGCCCACCTCATGGTCGTGTGTGTGGTGGTGGTCGCTGTCGCCAGCGTGCTTCTGGGTGGGGTTGTGATCTGTGTGGCTCTTGGTGTGGTCGTGGTCGTGGTCGTGTGTGTGTGCTCCGTCGGCGGCGTGTACACCATCATGGTCGTGGCTGTGAGCGTGTGTGTCCTTGTGGCCGTGGTCGGTCTCTCCGCCCAAGAGGTGATGTTTCTTCTCTGCTTCAGCGGCCTGAAGAACACATAGAAGATTTTATGATATGTTAGACCTAAAAATATGGAAGAATTGATTTGGTGGATTGATGATATATCTCAGACCAACTTCAGTCACCATGGCTATAAGGACATAGAATAAACTGTTTAGGAACAAAGTTGTCCTTAAGTCTATCTGGGCAGGTTGTGAAGGAGAATTACACCTAATGACGACTGATCTTATTTTTTGTTATTATGGCCATTGTGTGTCTATATGACAACTACTTTATCACTAAATAAAGATGTCAGGGGTTGCAAGGGACAACCTGTATGATTAGTTTAAAAATCCTCGACACTGGATCTCAGCATTTACTTAAGATTTTATGAAATAAACAGAATAATCTATGTTGCCTTTTCTCTTTACTGCTACAATGGGACACTGTTTCTTCATGGCTGTGCAAGTATTACCTCCGGCTCATAGACTTCACATTCGACACTGGTGTCAGCATCATTATCAGGAGAGTAGAAGAGGGTTGCCTTGCAGAAGCCCTTGTGCTGAGGAGATGTGAACAAAAAAACAAGTAAGGGAAGAGAGAGTGGAGGTATGGTTGCGCCTGCAACATAAACAATGTGTAATATGTATATTTTCAACACCCAAAGCAAATCCTGCAAATAAAAAAAAACCTTGATAAAGATAAATGTTCCAATGCGAAATAATTATTATTTATGACTCACAGCGAACTCGCACTCCATGAGGGGGCACTTATCAGCTGCTGCTGCGCTTTTGGTGCAGGTGGTCTCCTGGATTGTGTACTCTACATTGTAGTACATCGACATAGCCATCTGGATATACACACACATACAAAAGAAGTCATATTTAGCGAAGGGTTAGGCACACAGATAGGATATCAAGAGTTGTTGAAAGTAGCTGTTGGGTAAGTTAGAGAGCCTTTTACCGATGGAAGTAAAGGAGGTTACTGTTTATTACGTAGTGATGTGAGAAAACCCAGAGTTAATTTTTTTCAGTTTTCCAAGGAAACTCTAAAAATGTAATGCAAATAACTCACATGAATCCCGGTGACAGGAATAAACTAGGGCTGGCGATAGATAAAATTAACTTGAAATTCATTCATCTCGATTAATGGCGATTAATGAATGTTGTTGTAGTTACTTTGTTATTTTTAATAAAAAAAACACATGGAGGGATTCATCTCCACAGTTCTCGGCTGAATGTAATTTGTTTCATTTGACTTCCAATGCAAAAAGCTCTCTCCATCTCGAGTTGCCATCTTTCTTTCTCCAATGTACTCATTTTGTTTTGCGTTCAATTTCTGGGTGACTTCCGGAAGTAAACCGGAAGTTTACCACGGACCGGTAACTTCCGGATGTAAGGTACGTTAACTACGTTAAAATAATTTGTCGCATTAATCTCGGCCACATTAATCGCATAGATTAACGCGTTTATGTTAACAGACCTAGAATAAACCTTTTTTGAACTGTGAAAACATACCCCAGCTCGAGCACGCAGGACTTTGAGCAGAGCGAAACGTTTGGACAATCCGCTGTCACTGTTGAACTTCTCCAGCGAGAGAGTCACGGCTTTCTGAATCTCAGCGTTTTGCATGCCAATAGAAGACAGACAGTCGGGACAAATTGAATGCACCCTGGCTCCCGGAACTGACCAGAAAAAGAAAACAAAATCAAATATCTCAAAAAATAATGTACACTGACATCTCAACTTTTTTTCAGCAAAAACAATATAAATATGGCACATATAAAAGTTATTGAGAGCCGTGTCAACTACAACAATAAAAATAAATCTAGTAATTGGCAGAATTTTCTTTCAAAATAGCACACAAGTGGGCATTGACGACTTTTTCAGATTTCAGTATTTTCTTACCTGGTCTGACAACACAGTCATATTTGTAGAGACGTGTCACTCTGTGCACCTTACTGATGTAAATGGCAGCTTTGCACTGTCCATATACCTGCAAAGACAAACACAACAATATGAAGGTACCAAATTTGAGTATGGTGCAGCAAGACGTATAACGTATATCTTGTTCCTGGTTGTATTATTGTATCTAAATTAGTCTTCTGATAGTTTAAGAACTGCTCGTTACGTAGGTGAAACATGTTGATTTATGGCTTATAATATGCTGTGTGTTGACTTTGGCATGTTAAGCACTGTGTGTGAGTTTTCTAACCGGTGTGTCATGTGTGGGACGAGCCTCGCAGGCCTTCCAGTCCTTCTTGCTGAGAACGCTGCAGTTGGTCTCCACAACATCCAGAGTCAGGTAGAAAACCATGCCGCTCTCTCCCTGTGATGCACACACACACAAGCACATTCATAGACAACACTTTAGTAGAACACCTTGATATCAAAAATCTTGGGGCAGGACAATGGGTCACTGTGTGATGCCTGAAATGATGATAAATGAAGCCCTTACGTTTTAACAATCAGGTTCTAGAACCTTCAATGATATCGGTTACCCGTCCAATAATCCTTGGTGTCACCTGTGAAGGTTCCCTGCCACATTAGTTGTGTGTGTGTCCCTTTAAGGGCAGTTTCCCGAAGGTGCCAACTGGAGACACCCGGCCGATCACCCTATACGTCGTCGCCACAGTGTGTGGATTGTCCTGCCAATATCTGAATAAATACTTTACCTTTTGGTTAACTGTCTGTGTTAGGTCATGGCTGTCTGAGCTAGGTTGTTGTCTTATGTTTATCAGAATTAAATCATCATACATTTTAATAGACATTCTTGTCATCCAAGTCCTTTTTTGACTTGGATGTCAGATGAGGTCTCGCACGCGTAAATGTCCTTCAAAACATACCAAGTTGCTTTAATTTTAATCATCTAAGAGTGCATTGTTATACCTTAGTTTCATATGTATTGCTAATCATGATAACAGCAATTAAGTGGTTTGAAGACACTGAGGAAAAATAATAAGTATCTTGGCCTTAATATCTAATAATCTTTTACATGTCAGCTTGATTTTAGACATAACGTGTATTTAGAAAACCAAAAGTTGACACGAGAGAGGATTACATCATGTCCATATCCTTATCTGGTACTCTGCACCCAATGCCAAGGACAAGGGCAGATAGCTGCGTGGCATTTTGCGCTGCAGAGAAGGTGACTTTCCTAAATCTGTCTTTCCTGTAGAACCTCAGACAGGAGACGGCTGTCCACTAACACCAAAATCTTATCCCACGTACATTTTCAAACCCCCATTTACAGTGTTTCACACTTAAAAACATAAAATGAACAAACGGTCTGCTGGTTCAGATGGTTTTTGATGCATCTTCCGACAAGAAGACAAATACATTTAAAGTGTTTTTGACGGATATGGATTTTAACAAGTAGCCTGATAATCCTTTCCTTATAACGTCAACAATTCATTTTTCATTTGGACTCACATGTTTTGCCATGTGCACGTTGGACAGACGGTGCAGGGCGAAGATGTAGCCCTCCAGCCGGTCCTGGTTGATCTTGGTGAGAGCAAGTTCTGCAGCTCCTTTTGCCGATGCGTCTTCACATGACCCCGGCTGTATGTCTTCATGTGCCACCGGTGCAGCGCAGACGTACATGCATCCCAGTGCCAACAACAGCGCCAATAGCATACAGTGCTTCATGGTTAAGGCCTGAGACAACAAGGCATGTGTTACTCAAATCCCGCACTGGCTAGTAGAAGAGATACTCACAGAGGGATGTGTTGACTTTTTATTTTAAGCGATTGTTTGCTGAAGGAACATCCCGTCCCCCTCTCTCTAACACACACCCACACACACACATACACTCAAGTTACAGACTTCAGTCTATTTGGGTAAACATGACCATTGACCACAACTCCCTCTTCAAAACACAAGGTCCTATCAAGGAGTGTTGCAACTGTTATTCTATTTGCTGGCCAATCAGTTACTGTGAGGACTTGCATAGTGGAGCTTATCAGTTTGGAGCTTATCAGCCCTGCAGTTTTTTTTTTCTTTTCTCTGTGATCAATATGTTCAGTCAGTAGGCTGCAAAACTCTTAATCCACTCTTGGAGTCCTCTTTTTCTGGAAAGAAGCATTTACAAGACGCGGCGACACAGTGGTTGTCATCTCAAAATGAGGTGTTAAACAATGATTTTGAACAGTTAGAGTTCAATTCAAACTAGCTGCTTATCAACAGCTACTGTAGTTACTTTACCAGCTGAACAAAGTAGTATCAGGTCATGGTTGTCACCCTTAAAAGCATAGACAAATGGCCAAATTTGCCTTGATTATGTCACTCTGCTATAGCCCTGGCAATTTGTGGCTTCCTCTTGGTGCTGGTAGTTAAGTGTTCCCCGTTTGCCGCAATGCCAACAAATTAAATCAGCTTTTATTAGGTGCTACAATGTTAAAAACCGCTACGAAAACTAGGATATATTTTTTTTATTCCAACCTTCAATAGACTATCTTTTTTGTGAGATTGCCATCTAATTTTTTTGTCTCTTTTGCCGCTTTTGTGGAGTGTAAATTTTACGATTTAATTGTTAGTTTAGTTTCTAAACACTAAAAACATGTTAAGTCCGCTTCAGAGCATTTCATTAACAGGAAAAATAAAAGCTTTTAAACATTTAATGCCATAGGTCACCGTGGCTTCTTTCTTATTATGTCAGACTCAAACAGTTTGAGTGATGTTATGAAAAGACCACATGTTAGTACGCATGTGCAATTATTGAACGTTTTATTTGTATCTTTTTATTTGGCATCAATACAATACTGGAAATTACAATGTGTTTCAGGGGTTCCGAACACACATTATAGCTGTTTATTGATGTGACCAGTATGTCCACATTGCAAATTTACACAAACTGGATGTGTGTAATTTATTCTAAAACCAATGTTGTTGTGTTTTCTGTGCAAATGCTACAACACATGAATTTATTGAGCCCCTAATTGGCATCTGCACCAAACTTCACAGACTTTATTTCACCGAATTTTCTTGTGACGGAAGACAAAATCTTTAAAATAAGCCTGTTACATGTATAGCGTCATCATTTATTATTATAATAGACAATTGCATATTCAAATGTCAAATCCATGTTATCCTACAGAATTTAAGTTGCTGTGACCCACCCACATTTGAATGGAATATATTAGCAGTTACTGATTGTAATTTACTTCGGAAGACATGAAGACACTAAACTCAAGACTTGATGCTTTGAATTGGGTTAAATATTATGAAAAAGGGTTATTTCATATGCAGGATTACAAAGGATGTTTTAGAAAATCAATAAAACAACCTCTTCACATTATGTTTAGTTTAGAATATGAATCTGCTGCGGTGAGATCAGTGACAGGAAACAAAGGGAGCTCGGGTTTAGTTCATTGAATCAACACACAAGTGTGCGGTGTTATTTATTTATTTTGGTGCAACCAAACACAAAAAACATTCATGTTTGCCTCCAGAATTTAATAGTTCCTCCGTGTGAACGTTAGTCGTGTGAAAACAATATGAGCAGTTTACTGAATTTATTGTTTTCGAATGTATGACCAACAGAAGGTTGGAGGTAAACAGAGTTTATATTTAACCATTTGCAAAGAATGACCAAAGTAAGCAGTTAAGGTGCGTTACATGGTCCATCACTGTGTCTAAGGCAAAGGTGTTACTGTAAATATTCTCCTGTCTGCACTTCAGTATTTTCTTATATGTTTAAACATCAAGTGTGTTTAGACATACATTCAGTTTCCAAGTGAGTTTCAATGGGCCACCTTATGCAGCGGGTTTGAACATGGGGTCCTCAGCGAAGAGTTTCTCCAGCCCGCTGTCTCCCGTCACTCCAGGGGCGCAACTGGGTGAGATCGCCCCGGGGAAGGGCTGGATGATGGGTTCCATCCGTCCGGGCACTCGTGGGTCTGGCTTGAGGGGCAGGGTGACTCCCACTTCAGGCCCACCAGCGGGGACGTCAGGGAAAGAAGGCAGGGTCATGGGTTGGTTCATGGCGGGCAAATACTTCACCCTGCCTACTGGGTGCTCGTGGTCGTGCCCGTGGTTGTGGTGATGGCCGGGCGAATCGCCGCTGTGGTTGTGTGCCTTGTCATGGTGAGTGTGCACGTGATCGTGGTCGTGCCCGTGGTCGTGCCCGTGGTCGTGGCCATGCCCGTGGTCGTGCCCATGGTCGTGGCCATGTCCGTGGTCGTGGGAGTGGTTGTGAGCGTGCCTGTGGCCGCTGCCCACCTCATGGTCGCGTGTGTGATGCTGGCGTCTGTCGCCAGAGTGCTTCCGGTTGGTGTTGCGATGTGTGTGGCTCTTGGCGTGATCGTGGTCGTGGTCATGGTCGTGTGTGTGTGCTCCATCGGCGCCGTGTACACCGTCATGGTCGTGGCTGTGAGCGTGTGTGTCCTTGTGGCCGTGGTCGGTCTCTCCGCCCAAAAGGGGATGTTTCTTCTCTGCTTCAGCGGCCTGAAGAAAACATAGAAGATACATTTTGTGATATGTTATACCTAAAAAATATGGGAGAATTGATTTGGTGGAATTGAAGATATATCTCAGACCAACTTCAGTCACCATGGTTACATTACAATAAACAGTCCTTAAGTCTTACTGGGCAGGTTGTAAAGGAGAATTACACCAAATAACGACTGATCTTTGTTGTTTATAATTATGGCCATTGTGTGTCTATATGATAACTGATTCACGAAATAAAGATGTCAGGCTATTTGAGACAACCTGTATGTTTGTCCTCCTCACTGGATCTCAGCATTTACTTATATGACTAAGATTTTATAAAAGAAAAAAAAATTCTGAAAAAAAAATGAATTACTAATAATAGAGGCAATAAAATAATATTGCCTTTTTCTTGTTAGTACAGAAAGTAGAAAATAGAACAATTTAGTCTATGGGACACTGTATTTCACCGCATGAAAAGGGGGATTTTCTGCAGTATGCGGCACTGTAAATTGTCGTGGAATTTCAGGTTTGCGGCTGTTCACGGCAATTTGCGGGCAACGCCGAAAACTGCCGTAAATTGTCAGAAATTGATGTGGGTTGTGCAAGTCTTACCTCAGGCTCATAGATCTCACATCCTACATTAGCCTCACCATCACCTTGGAGAGGGTAGTAGATGGATGCCTGGCAGAAGCCCTTGTGCTGAGAGAAAATGAACGCAAAAACAAGTAAGAAAGGAGAGAAACGAGGTATGGTTACGCCAACCAGAGTTGAATAATTTCAAACAAACAATTAAACTCCCGCTGGCTAGGAGCATGCTTTGGGAGATTACAGCACTAACAGTTTAAATAGTTCACCTGAGTTAAATCTGGAAAGTAGGAATGAAAATTGGATTTTAATTGTTAAGATTGTTTCAAAAACAAAGAGTGCAAGCCAAATATAATTATATGTAATGAATATCTTTTCAACACGCAAAACAAAAAAAAATAAACATAAAGATAATGTTCAAATGTGAAATCACTATTATTTACACTCACAGCAAACTCGCGCTCCATGTGGGGGCACTCATCAGCTGCTGCTGCGCCTTTGGTGCAGTTGGTCTCCTGGATGGTGTACTCTACCCTGTAAGACTTCCCAGCGACTACCTAAATACACACACACACACACACACACACACACACACACACCCAACCACACCCACGCACACATTAAAAAAATAGTGATATTTGGCGAAGGATTAGGCACTAAAATAGGAAATAAAGAGGTGTTGAGGTAGCTGTTGGGTAAGCTGGAGAGCCTTCGACCAATGGAATTAAAAGGAGGTTACTGTTTAATACATAGTGACTGAGAAAACACAGAAGTACATTTTTTGTTCCACGGAAACTTATATGCAAATAACTGACATGAATCCAGGTCACAAGAACAAACACTTTTTGAACTGTGAATGCATACCTGAGAATGAGCACGCTGGACTTTGAGCAGAGTGAAATGCAAAACGCTCCCACTGTTGAACTTCTCCAGCGAGAGAGCCACCGCTTTGTGAATGTCAGCTCCTTGAATGTCAATAAGAGACAGACAGCCTACACAGCCGACTGAGTCTCTAGGAACTGACCAGAGAAAAAATTATAATCGCAAAATATCACAAAAATACAAAAATACAAATAAACACTGGCAACATCTCAACTCTCATTTCTTAGAGACTTTTTTAGATTGCAGTGTTTTCTTACCTGGTCTGACCACACAGTCATATTTGTAGAGACGTGTCACTCTGCGTACCTTACTGATGTAAATGGCAGCTTTGCACTGTCCATATACCTGCAAATACAAACACAACAATATGTATGGACCGAATTTGAGTATAGTGCGCCAAGACTTATGACTTATATTTTGTTCTTGGTTGTATTATTGTATCTAAATTAGTCTTCTGCTAATTTACGAACTCCTCGTTACTGAGGTGAAACATGTTGATTTAAGGCTTATAACATGCTGTGTGTTGACTTTGGCACGTTAAGGACTGTGTGTGAGTTTTCTAACCCGTGTGTCATGTGTGGGACGAGCCTCGCAGGCCTTCCAGTCCTTCTTGCTGAGAACGCTGCAGTTGGTCTCCACAACATCCAGAGTCAGGTAGAAAACCATGCCGGTCCGTAGTGTCCCTGCACACATCAGGAAACAGGAATCAGGAAACATTTATTGCCAAAATATGTCAAACATACAAGGAATTTGTCTTTGCGGTTTGTGCGTTGCAGTAGACACAAAACAGTAAATAGACAACAAGACAGCAGTGCACAAGCAACAAAATAAAATAAAATAAAATGAAATGCAATGCTAATGCAATGGGTTAGTAAAATAAGGCTATGGGTTAGTATAAAATAAGAGAATAAAGTTAAATATTTAAAATCTATATAAAAAAAATTAATATATATATATATATTAAAAATAAAAATAAAGTGCACTAGCGAACAAGTGACGAGTGACGAGAAAGTGACGAGTGACGACAAAGTGACGAATGAAAAATTACAGTTAAAGTGACATGTGCAGTATGAGGGAGAGTGACCAGTGGAATGTCAGAGTCAGTCAGTGGGGGACCGGGCTCTGTTGATGAGCCCGACTGCCGACGGGAAGAAACTGTTTGTGTCAGGTCTTAGTCCTGATGGACCTCAGACTCCTGCCAGATGGAAGGGGCACAAACAACAAACACAAGCACACAAACATCTTGATAGGACAATAGGTCACTGTGTGATGTCCTTAAAAAGTTTGGGTCGCTTTAATTGAATCATCTAAGGGTGCATTGTTATACCTTTGTTATATATTGTTAATTATGATCACAGCAATCACTTAACAGTGATTATATAAGTATCTGTGCCTTTGAACCCAATAATCTTTTACCAGGAAACCAACAGTGGACGTAAGAGATGATTACACTGTGTCCTTATCCTGCACCCAATGCCAAGGACAAAGGCAGATTGCTGTGTCTTTCCTGTAGAACCGCAGGCAGGAGGCGGCTGTCCACTAGGACCAAAACCTCATCCCACGCACATTTTCAACCCCCCCATTTACGATGTTTCACATGTATACACATAAAATAAACGAATGGTCAGCAGCTTGAGATGTTTTTTACGGCACCTTCCGATCTTGACAAAGACACTTAAAGTGCTTTGAGGGATATGGATTTTACCCCTAATTGAAAAAACAAGAACCCTGATAATCCAACTTTCCTATCAACATAAATCATTGATTCTTCATTTGGACTCACATGTTTTGCCATGTGCACGTTGGACAGACGGTGCAGGGCGAAGATGTAGCCCTCCTGCCGGTCCCCGTTGATCTTGTTGAGCGCAAGTTCTGCAGCTCCTTTTGCTGACGCGTCTTCACATAACCCCGGCTGTATGTCTTCATGTGCCACCGGTGCAGCGCAGACGTACATGCATCCCAGTGCCAACAACAGCGGCAACAGCATACAGTGCTTCATGGTTAAGGCCCACAACAACGTGTGTTTTCAAATTACGCACTACTAGCTAGTAGGAGCGATACTCCCAGAGGGATATGTTGACGTTTTATATCCTGCTATTGTTTGGTGAAGGCCCATCCCAACCCCCTCTCTGACACGCACACACACTCAAGATACGGACTGTCTTTTTTAGGTAAACATGACCATTGACCACAACTCCATCATCAAAACACAACGTCCTATAGCGGAGTGCTGCAACTGTTAATCTATTTGCTGGCCAATCAGCTTCTCTGAGGACTTGCATGGTGGAGCTTATCAGCCCTGCAGTTGCACTCTTTTCTCTGTAATCAATAGGTTCAGTCAGTTGGCTGCAAAGCACTTGATCCCATCTTGGAGTCCTTGTTTGCTGGAAAGAAGCGTTTACAACATGCGACCACACAGTGGTTGTAATCTCAAAGTTAGGTCTAATTACTCATTAGCATTTAGAATTCATTTCAAACTACCTGCTCATCAAAAGCTACTTTAGTTACTTTACCAGCAAAGCAGTATCAGGTCGCTGTCAACACTCTTAAAAGCATGGACAATGGTGCAAACATGCTTTAATTATTTTACTTATGCCGCTCTGAGATTTTGTGGAACCTCTGAGGAGGTGTCAGTTAAAGTGGGAACCCTTAATTCACATCTATAATGCCAATTTTTTTCGACTTTCCAGGAAAGTACTTAGACTTAGAGTATGTTGGATTGCCAGCGCAAGATTGAATGATTTTTACGTTACTTTCCCTGAGGAGGTCTTTGTAGTTCTTTTGCCACCGAATTTCACTGCATACATCACTCACAGATTTATTATATGTCCAATTTCTCACTATGCAGATATCTGAAGTAATGTCATAATAACTGCAGCCAAAAGTGAGGGTGTCAGTCTGAGTGGTGTGTAACATACTCAGTGGGCCAGGTTTTTAACCTTGACTTTTTAATGATTTGTCAAGAACCTTGATCCAATCACTGTCAAATGCAAATGACAATGAGTAATGACAATTTAATTCAAAGCATTTTGTTTATTTTGGTTTTTAACTATATCTTGTTAGCTTGAGACAGATTTTTGAAGTCTATGTGGAAGAATGCGGTATATAAGTGCAGGCATGAAAGTAGGCACGTTATGCTTCAGCACATCCCTGAACTTCGAACTGAACTCACTGATTTAATCTTTGTCGAAACAAAATAAACAATCCATGGAATTACCAGACAAAAATCTATATTTCTTGTGCAGTTGATGTGTTGCAACTTAAACCAGCTATTACATAATACACAAACACGTTGGGACACGACCGCTTACATAGTCCATTACAATCTAAATTAATCTAAAGTAAAAAAATAGAGCATCCAGATCAAGATACTGTCAGGGTACAATGAAAGCTGCAGTACTGAGTCAGGTGGAGGTGATGGTTGTAATAATATTCCGGAGTAATGCAAAGCTGTCTTAAAAGATGTCCACATTACTTTCTGAAATAGCATTACAGTTTTCTTTCACCAATGCGAGGAACTGCATCCATGTGAATTACATTACATTTTTGTCACTTTAAAGTGGTGATTTGTCGGTCAGTCATCGTCCACAGCGCTGATCCTTACAGGGCTGGAGTGGAGGGACGGGGTACACCCTGGACTGGTGGCCAGTCGATCACAGGGCTGACATAGAGACATTTTCTTTATGAGTCACCACTTAAGCTGGCCTGCACGTCTTTGGCCAGTGGGAAGAAGCCAGAGGAGGCGGAGAAAAAAACACCCTCGTGCTGTGAGGCGACAGTGCCAAACACCACACCACTGTGCCGCCCGTGGTAAATAATGTTGGTTATGCAAGTGCTGATTTTGTTTTTGTCAGTGGGCGTAGGAGTGAGGCGGGGTAACGACTTTTAGGGCATTGACACAAATCATTACAGCAAAACCTTCCGATTGGAGAGCAGGGGGGGATTTGCGATTTGGAGCCTTAATTCTTCTTCATTTAAAGAACTTTTATTTCATTCCCGTTAATATCACAAGTTAATCTCCCGTGATAATGCAAACACATAGCGCACAGGGAAAATATCCATGCATACTCTATGGGGCAGGGGTGAAATGGTAAAAGAGACAGGTTAGGAATCTGTGTGCAGTTTAGCCATATCAGCTAATGTTGGACTACGTGTTGGCTTAAATGCTTGGACTATTGGTCCAGAGTGAAATTTTCAAACATAAGAAGAGAAATATCCAAGCATATTTCTTTACAGATTACTTTCCTTTCAATTTAAAAAGGTACTTCTATCAGTATTTTTATCCTACTTCTACGTCCATTTGAGAGAGAACTCCATTTTTTGTAATTGTAATTATTAGCATCCGACAGGTTAAACAACAAAATCTAAAATCCCTTCACCCTTAGAAAATAATGTTATACAGCGGAAGACCTAGTTATTGTACCAACTTTTAAAGTCAGTTATCAGATGGAAAAACAAAAGTGACATTATTTCAGCGTCTCTTAATGGGCTTAAATACTTTACTACATTAAACTTTAAAAGAAGTTTTTACCAGTCAGAGAGGATCTATCAAAAAATGGAATGCAAGATGTTACGGTCAGTGTGGGTTTTCAGCTGAGTTTAAACAAGATAAAATTAGATGGGTTTTCTCATCAGTTCCTAGAAGTATTATGTCAACTCTCAGGGGTTGGCTTTAAGTGTACACTCCCTTACATAAGACACAAGGTGGTGCTGCCGCATTATGCAATATCCAACCAACAACTGGCACTAAGTCACACATGACGTTAGTGAGCACGGTAACCTTACGTCATAACCTTCCTCCTACAGAGCGCGCAGCAGCGCAGAGACAGGTCACTGGTATCAACAGAGATTCATGTTACACCGCAGGAGAAAAATAATGACCTAAGGGAAGAAGAGGAACAAAAGGGGCTCTCGTCATAGAATCCTCTCCCAGTCTTGGGGGGAGTTTGTTGAATCCAGCGGTGTGACTCACACCTATACCGTTTTCAGTCCCACCTCTTACGGTTATGTAACAAGTCGCAACAGTTGGGTTGCTGTTTCTAATTGAAGAGGATTGCAACTTAAACCTCTGGACAGGCCTCTGCACTTGGGTCAAACTCCAAAACAAACCTCAAAATATTTCCACTATTTCCAATGTTAAAGACAAGAGATGTGGATCATCTAATTATGTTTAGGGTGCTTTATATTTTAATCTACCTAGCCATATAGAAGACTACAGTTGCTGCTGGTTCCCATTGCTGCGTTGTGCTGCTGCCTCTCCGGGTCACTGTGCTGGTGGGCCAATCCCCCCTCAAGGACACGCAGCACAGTCCACGCAGTGCTCGATACAATAGGTCAAAACCGCACGCACACACTTCCACACAAATCTCTTATGGGTATTCTTTCATTTGTTTTCTAAATCAGCAGCCTGATCTCATGGGAAGGTGCATAAATAGCATGACATTTTAGGACATCCAAATGTAATAATTTGTAAACAGTTTCTTGTGGACATTTGGATGAGACTTCTGTGGTGGCAAAATATTGAACTTTTAGCACGTTGTAACTCTTCCAGAAGTCACTTGTTAAAATGTTGTCATTTAAATATTGTATCATTAGTTTTAGATGCATGATATTCCTGTTTATAGACTCCTTTAGTTGTTGTGTTAACAAATAATTGATTAAAGCAGTGCAGCTGCATGTTTCTGCCATGTGATTCTGTATTGAACGGCCTTCTGAAGCAACATATTGCGCAACCAGTCGGATTTTAATCAATTGCGTGAAGAGAGAGAGAAAGAGAGAGCAGTACATGTAGGGTCTGACTGATCAGGGAGTGCTTCAGCAATTCATGTTTGCCTGAATATTAATATACATTTACACTGGACAAATCATTTTTGAAAAGAGTTTGTTCATAAAGAATCTGAAGAATTTGTTTGCAATGAATGTGTGTTTCCCCACACACGTTAATGCATGCATATTACTATAGCAAGGTGTCGGGGGAATGACTGTGTTCAAAATAGTTTTGACCTACATCTTTCCTTTTGGAAGTCAAGGGTTGTTTGGGGAGAAGGGATGATTTTTTCTTGTTTTACATTTGCTTCCTCAATTGGTAATCTTGACATTTCAATTACAGATAAAAAGAGGCGGTTTCAAGCCCACAGAAGTCTCTTTGGTGCTGAAGTGAGGCTGTGTTTAACACATTGAAAAACGGATTGTGGGTGTCAACTGCCTGCCAGTCTGTCGTAATTAAAAAAGGCAGGGGATTTTCAAAGCAGGTCAAGTTGACATTGGAAACATACTGAAAAGAATGTTCAATTTTTCTTCATTTTTAAAGATTACAAGGTTATAAGCAGCTGTAAAACAGCAGATAGAGACCGTGATAGAGTTAACATATATTTTAACTAATGCATCAAGTAAAAGGCCCTTGTCTCCACGTATGTGTCAATGTCACATTGTCAGTCACACGGTCAGAGTGGCTCGTGTTAAGCTAAGTTTTCAAGAATTCTGGAGACAAAGCATGCCGCGGAGCACTTAAACTCCCTCCATAGAGTCAAAAATACACAAAAAAGACCAAGCACATAAACACGACGCAGATTGAAGCATGCGCACACAGCACACACAACTAAGTGACTCATCCATCATCCCATTGCTCCCACGTTAGATGAAAGACGTGAATGCGGCCACCCAGCAACGGCGGTTCCGATAGGTTTCCTAACCTGCGTGCTGTTCCCCACGTAGCCTCATCACAGCTCATTAAGGCCCGCAATGACTGACTCAGCGCCGAGGCCTACACACATTCCCCCCCCCCCCCCCCGGTATCTTCCCTTCTCCTCCTGCACCGACGCTGTGGGCTCTTTGCTACGGATCATTTAGCTGAAGCTGGAAAAGTCAACCTCTTTGTTTGGGGTTGATATGCTAATCGTCACGGCTGAGGGCGCGTAGTGGAAGCGGACTTTTCGCTAAGCTTTGAGTGAGCAACCTTTTAACTATTAGAGCTGGTCTGTGTTTAAACTGTCATGCCAGCAGATTCCTATCAGTTACCATAGCAACACCTGTTCTAGTCCCGTCGATCCTTGTGTGAAGACGTCTG